CATACTTATATTTGGACCACCACCCCCCATACCAGAGGGGCTTCACCTGCTTGGCCTGTTTGATGGCAGTGCACATCTCACAGTCATGGATAACTTGAGAAATACTGTCCATGGTTAGATCCACCCCTCGGTCTCGTGCCCACTTATATGTGGCATCTCTGCTGTGATGACCTGAGGCATCATGGGCCCATTGAGCCAGGAACAACTCTCCCTTGTGCTGCCAGTCTAAGTCTATCTTTAACACCTTTATCTGTGCAGCGTGATCTACCTGCTCATTGTGTCGGTGTTCCTCATTAGCCCGACTCTTGGGGACATGGGCATCTATGTGACGGACTTTCACAGGCAGCTTCTCTACCTGGGTGGCAATGTCTTTCCATTCATTGGCAGCCCAGATTGGTTTTCCCCTACGTTGCCAGTCAGCCTTTTTCCACCTTTCCAGCCAACCCCACAGAGCATTGGCTACCATCCATGAATCAGTGTAAAGGTAGAATTTTGGCCACTTCTCTCTTTCAGCAATGTCCAGGGCCAGCTGAACACCTTTGAGTTCAGCAAGTTGACTCGATCCACCTTCTTCTTCGGTAGCTTGTGCAACCTGTCGTGTGGGGCTCCATACGGCTGCTTTCCACTTCCGGTTCATCCCCACAATGCGGCAGGAACCATCAGTGAAAAGAGCATAGCATGTTGCATCTGCTGGCAGTTGGTTATACGGGGGGGCTTCTTCGGCCCATGTCACTTGTTTCTGTTCCTCTTCGTCGGCAAGGCCAAAGTCTTCCCCTTCCGGCCAGTTGGTAATTATCTCCAAAATCCCAGGGCGATTCGGGTTTCCAATACGGGCACGTTGTGTGATGAGGGCAATCCATTTACTCCATGTGGCGTCAGTGGCATGGTGGGTTGAGGGAACCTTTCCTTTAAACATCCACCCCAGCACTGGCAGTCGGGGTGCCAGGAGGAGTTGTGTTTCCGTGCCAACCACCTCTGAGGCAGCTTGAACCCCTTCATAGGCGGCCAAGATCTCCCTCTCCGTTGGAGTGTAGTTGGCCTCGGACCCTCTGTAGCTTCGACTCCAGAATCCCAGTGGTCGGCCTCGCGTCTCACCAGGCACCTTCTGCCACAGGCTCCAGGACAGACCATGGTTCCCGGCTGCAGAGTAGAGCATGTTCTTCACATCTGGTCCCGTCCTGACTGGGCCAAGGGCTACCGCATGAGCAATCTCCTGCTTGATCTGGGCAAAGGCTTGCTGCTGCTCAGGGCCCCAGTGGAAATTGTTCTTCCTGCGGGTGACCAGGTAAAGAGGGCTCACAATCTGGCTGTACTCAGGAATATGCATTCTCCAAAAGCCTATGGCACCTAGGAAAGCTTGTGTTTCCTTCTTGCTGGTTGGTGGAGACATTGCAGTGATCTTATTGATGACCTCACTGGGAATCTGGTGCCGTCCATCTTGCCACTTTACTCCCAGGAACTGGATCTCTTGGGCAGGCCCTTTGACTTTGCTCTTTTTAATGGCGAAACCAGCTCCCAGCAGAATCTCAATGATCTTTTCTCCTTTCTGAAATACCTCCACTGCCATGTCCCCCCACACAATGATGTCATCAATGTACTGTAGATGTTCTGAAACTCCATCCTTCTCCAGTGTAGCCTGGATCAGTCCATGACAGATGGTGGGGCTGTGTTTCCACCCCTGGGGCAGTCGGTTCCACGTGTATTGCACACCCCTCCATGTGAAAGCAAACTGAGGCCTGCACTCTACTGCCAGAGGAATGGAGAAAAATGCATTGGCGATGTCAATGGTGGCGTACCACTTGGCTGCCTTGGACTCCAGCTCCTACTGCAGTTCCAGCATGTCCAGCACAGCAGCGCTCAGTGGTGGAGTCATTTCATTCAATGCATGACAGTCCACGGTTAATCTCCATTCTCCTTCAGATTTACGCACAGGACAGATGGGGCTGTTGAAGGGTGAGTGGGCCTTACTGACCACCCCTTGGCTCTCCAGCTCACGGATCATCTTGTGGATGGGGATCACGGCATCTCGATTCATCTGGTACTGCCGGCGGTGCACTGTTGAGGTAGCAATTGGCACCTGTTGCTCTTTCACCCTGAGGAGTCCCACGGCAGATGGGTTTTCTGATAGCCCAGGCAGGGTGTTCAACTGCTTAATGCCCTCTGCCGCCACAGCAGCTATTCCAAAAGCCCACCTGAGCCCCTTTGGGTCATTGTAATAACCGTTCCTGAGGAAGTCTATGCCTAGGATACATGGTGCCTCTGGGCCAGTCACAATTGGATGTTTCTGCCACTCTTTCCCAGTCAGGCTCACCTCAGCCTCCAGCAAAGTCAATTCCTGAGATCCCCCC